CATCCTCCAGCTTACTCATAGTAATCTTAAGCAATGGAAAATAATAGATGGAGGCAGCAACCCTCATTTTGACACTGCTTTTCAAAATAATGTTGTTATCAATATGACAGTGCTTACACTATCCAGTCCATTAGAGTACTTGGTTTGTAACTGTTTGTCCATTGATTCAGCCACTTAAAAAGGAGTGTCTCCCCATGGTTAGGTCATTCCTAAAAACTGTCATTAACTTATTAGAGAAGAGTACTTAGGAGTTCTCAAACTGAGACTGTCTCTCTGTGATGGGAGGACTTACCAAATGGTATTGACATGCTACTCCAGAAGAGCGTTCCAGTGTGGACACAGGTAACGTAACAGAACTTTGCTTAGTTTATAAAACAATCACAACACCTCACCTGTAAAAAGGAGGAGATATTTCCACGAAATCTTTTTCACTGTCATAATGGTATAGCAACAATACAAACTGCAAGCACTGATGCGCTCGCAAAGGCTCAAGATACTTCTTTTGTGGGACTACAGATTTCTTTCTTGAAAAATCAGTCAATTTCACAGAAGTCCATATGAACATAATTATTTGATTTCTTTGCTGCAGAGAAAGATGTGGGTTTTTTTCGCTGAGCTTTTGTATTACATTCCTTGCTTAATAGTGTGGTGGTTCTTTTCTCTTTAAGCCTGAACAGTTCCACAGATTCAAAGAAAGGTGAAATCATGTGTGGAAGAAAGATTAACTGAGGGATGTTAAATGCTAGGACACTATCTGATTTACATGCTTGTGTCACAAGCTGCTAGAGGTGATGAAGATGTTCTAGGAAATCTTAATGTGGTTTTTTTTCTCAAGAATTTTTGTTCTCTTTGACTTCTTCTACTGACCACTGTCAGAGATCTGGAGAGCTTCCAGCTGACCAGGAACAGCTATGCTAATATAGTTCCAATAGGCTAATTTCCGAAAGAAGGATTAAGCACCTGCTAGTTCAGTTCAGCACTGTCTCAGCATTGGTACCTGAGCACTTAAATCGTGAATTGCATGTCTTGCCTTACCATTAAGATTTAGTATATCAAAACCATACATATGGAGCATCAAACTAATTAACAGAAGTAAACAGGGAAAAAGCATTAAATGCTGAACTATGTCTGACTTCCCTGTTGTACTCCAAATCCTATATTCCTCATTTATCTAGGTAGTGTTGCACACAGGTGGGGTTGTATTTTTCCGTTGACTACATGATTTTAAGACAATTTATGCTCCCATCATATCTGCATAGTGACAGTTGACATTCTCTAGGTTGAAGTTTCAATTTCTTCAGAACAGGAGCTCATTTACTGAACTTAATAAAATATATCTGCAAGCGTATTTGTGCAAAAAAATGTGTTATTAGGACCAAAAAAAAGGATTTTCGCACATTTTATTCTTGTAATTGCATCTTTATGAATAAAATTAATTACATAGATGAAACACATTTTTCACATCACAATTATATGGTTTGTTTCTGGCTTTTAAAACTTCAGTAAATTCACTTTGTAATAAAGGAAGTCAATGTCTCATTGTCCTTGCACTGATATGAAATTATAAAATCTTAAGTACTAGCCTACATATTGAGAATAGTTTCAATCCTATTTGGCAGAATTCTTTTATTTAAAATGATCGGCTTCTAAACTGAGATTATAACCTTTTTTTTTCCCCTAGAGGTAAACAAATTCCTAAATATTTAATTTAATTATGTAATTCATGTACAGGAATAAATACCTATAATTGACGAAGTCTTTGTAATACTGAGTGTTGACGAAAGTCTTAAAAAGCAACAGCAATATTTTTGAAACCATATTTACCTACAGTATGCTGTAAGTAAACAGGATGAAAATATTTTTATTTGATCAAAAACAGTTTTACTACTAATTCAGTGTTTACTTTATTGGGATAAAAGGAATAAATAAAATGAACAGAGTTATGATTTGTACCTACAGGGAGGGCTACTGAAATGTATCCACGTAATCCGCTTGTCAGTGCTGGGACAAGTTACAAAAATAACTAGTCCTGAGAAGGCTGTAGCCCATTCGCACCTTGTAGTTTATTGGCTTGCACAGAGCTTCTCATGCCATAGACGAGTGTAAAACGTGGTTTGTAACTGGAGCAGGTTGGCACAGACTGACTGCAGTAGCCCGTTTGACAATGCACAGCTACAGTCTGTTGGGTGACTTCGAACGAGACACCTCAGCATGCCACAATAAAAGCCTTTGATGGTGTCCCAGAAGTCAAGGTGTATGAAGAAGGCACTGAGTTTCATAGTCCTGAGAACAGGTTTCGCAAGTTAAAAAGATACATGCCAATCTTTGTCCAGTTTAGAGCTGGGCCATCTCATCAGGAACTTGAGTGAGTGGCAGGCAGAGGCTCAGTTGTTTTTCATGGAGCTCCTGAAAAGGTCCTTTGATGATGGGAGGGTACTTGTTTCAGTGCACTTCCCACTGAACTCCGTAGTGCTCAGAAATCTCTTAATTTTGCATCAATTTTATAGAAGTATTTTACAGGCCACTCATGTATCCATAAGTTTCAAATGTTTATATTTTAGTGTTGGTTGTAGCTACTGAATTTAGTTTCTCCAGATAACACATCTGTAAAATGTGGCGACTTCATTTTTATAGACTAGGTACATGTTGAATGGTTTTCCTCATGTCTTCTAAGCATAAAACAAATATAATTCTTACTGAATCCAGTTAAATACAGGAAAATAAGCTGTTCAAAATGACTACTTATTGTGATGAAATTTTTTTAGAAGTTGTGTGATAGTTTTAGAAACAATTTATGTGGGGTTTTTTTCCTGACATTCAAAATGCTGTGCTTTTTCTGCACTTACATTCTTATGATCATCCTTGCATTCAGTAATTGTAGTTGATGCAGTTTTCATATTCCACATGTTATTTTTTAGTGCCGTATTGTAAAGAAACAAAAGGCACAAAGAGAAACCCATCATAAATAATATGTCTTGATGGCATTCTCAGAAAAAGTATACTTCTTTGTTTTGTGCTTGTTGAAGGTAACTTAAAAATAAAAAGAATCTCTGAACTTAATTTAGTGTGATTGTTTGCTTTTTTTTTTTCCCATACAGTGGGTTTTTTTAAATGTCAATTCAGACTTACAGACTCAATTCTGAAAGGTGTGGATGACACTGATCAACTTCATTGCTGTTGGACAGAATGAGACAGGTCATAGAAATTTAGGGTATATTGCATAATATCTGTAACAGAATAAAAAGCAAATTACTCAATAAAGGAGAAAATCCAATATGAAATGAAATTAATTCTTCTTCCACATCCTGAAAACAGTACAGCAGGCAGAACTAAATGACAAAGTACAGTCAGTGGGTGATGTGCAGAATGGACTTCCATCAGTGATTTCTTGTTAGTAATTGATATGAATAAGTAGTATTTAAGTTTGGGGGTTTATAATCCATATTCAAAGCTGATTACATTTTTAATAAACTTATTTACCTCCCAGAAGATGACACTTCATTGAAAATTAATCTTTCCATACACAAAAGTTAGGAAGAAAAAAATTAAAAAATGTATTCAAGATTACTAATTAAAAAAGCTTTCTTTTCTTTTTTTAAAAAAGATAATTGATTTCATATTTTTTTCACAGCTTGTAATACATTGAATGATTTGGTTTGTTTTCTAGTTTCTTTTCTTTCCTCTCCTTTCGTTCTGCTTTTCTCCACCCCTGTCCTCTTTTCTAATTTGTCTTGCCAAAACTAGTCAAGTTTGAAAATGTTAGAGAGCAATTGAAGAAAAACAGCCATACTTCATCTGTATAAAATGGAGAGGCAAGTGGCACTTTAGTAGGCAGGTTTGTTGTTTAGTTGGTGTCATGAAAATAGAAAGTAATATGATCAAAAGTATCTGACACTGAAATACCTGTAAAGAGCTCAGTCTCATCTAATCTCGTAGCTCTACAGAGATAGAACTAAATTTTAATTTGTGTTAAACCTTACATCCCTTATCTTCTCTAAGAACATAAATGGAATAACTAATATACTCCAAAATAAAATTCAAATAGTAGTGAGAATCACTTTGCACTTCAATAAACTGAAACTGGCATCAGTCTTATTCTTGACTCCATTTGCATTAAACCTAGATCTGCCTAGATCTAGTCAATACATTTTTTTTCTGACTGTAACTGTATAAAATATTAAGCATTTCATTTTTAAAAAAAATAGTTCTGAAATACTGAAAAGATTTTTTTTTGAAGGAAATTATGTAGAGCTTTTTTTTTCTTTTTTTTTTTGGTTTGTTTTCCTTTATGTGTCCACACAAACAGAAACAAAATCATTCTGGATATTCAGTTGTTCTTGTGATTTTTGCAGCTGAAATCCCTGTAATAACCATGGCAATCACACCTGATTTCAGATTCTAGATGAATGTTAAAGAGTGGATCAGCTCCTTGAAAGTGAACTGTTTTCTTTCAAGTATTCTAATGACAAAAACAAGAAATGCTTTCCCTGCACAACTGAATCTAACATTCTTTTGAGCATTTTCTGTGATGTCAGTGAGTCTTTAAGAAATTGTTACTATATGTTATGTATTCTAAAACAGCTGCTGGTTGCTAAAGGAGCAAAATGACACATTCACCTTTGAATATGGTAGTTGATTCAGTTTATGTTCTCTACTTTAGCTAATTAAGCACCAAGAACCCTATCTTGGGTTGGGTGATGTTGTTGGCTGACTATGTTGGTAAAAAGTACAGGATTGTTTGAGAATTGAGGCAGTACTTACCCTTACTGAGGACTGTACAGCCTGGCCTGAAAGAAATTATTTTAGCTCAAGCTTGACTGTATTTAAAAATGTCAATCCTGCGAATTCAGGCCTCATTTTGTGGGAGCAATCTATGAAGAAGAAGGACTACTGTTACATTAATTTGAAGGGGGTTTTTAAAAATATGTGGTGTATAAAATGGTTTTATCTTCAAGTCATGAAAAAATATGATTTTTTTTTGTTTGTTTGGTTTTTTTTAGCATAGAACAGTGCCTTAAAGACCTGCAGTCTGAAGTAAATGAAATATGTACTGATGAAATACTGCAAAGCACAACTGACTGTCTTCAGTGGCTAAACAACTGCAATTTTAGTTCTCTCAAATCCTCTTCTACACACCATGGAGAGCTGATAGAGTTCCTTAGGACCCTGGTAAAAATTGTTTCCTAAAGACTTTCGTATTTATAAAAGTTAGTTATGTGATGTTGGAGGGGAGGGGGGGGGTTAAGGTTAATTAATTTTCTTTTTTCAATATTCACTGTTGTGATGATACTTTAGGAATTTTATTGTAAGGCTTAGCATTGTTTTTATGTCTGCAGCAGAGGGTTATGTTTCCTTTTGATCGTGCCTGGAATAGACAAGCTTGGGTCAAAATCTTTTCACTGATGCTACCACATGTTCAGCACCATTTTATAAACACATGTTGATAAATAGTATCTGAAATTACTGTCTACTCTGAGGCTGTTACTGCTTGTCTGTCATTTGTGTCAGTGTGTATTTAACTCATGTAATACACATTATTGTCCTCTATGCATTCTTTACACGTTAACTTCCTATATGCTTTTTCTAATTAGAAAAGTGGGAGCTACATGCATTACCCTGCCCAGCTGTACAGCTAGATGTAACCAGAAGTCAAATTTCACTTCAGTGAAAAAATCGTCATTTTATATGATGTTTTTATCCAAAATTTTTATTAAAAGTTAAACTTAGAATTTATATGTGGATATGGAAGTGTGGAAAATTGAATTGGCTAGATGAGTGAAGGACGTACCTCAGTCAGTGACTGCCTGCAAGTATACATATAGAGTATGTATGTCTGTGTTTTATGATGTATGCATGTATGAGGGTCAAAACAAACAAACAGTATCCAGTGGATGTTTTATTTGTAGAACATGAACACCTTTAGACTAAGTTTGGCCATGGAAAACTGCTATGGAGAGGTGGACTATTTTCTCGTCTGGGACTATTCCCGGGGTAGAACTCAAGCTTCATCAAATCACCTCTTGCCTTTTAACTCTTAAAACTGGTTGTTGATCTTTCAGTCACCCTTGAATCCGGTGGATATTAATCTGTGTCATGTGAGGATGTCCTCTCTAGAAACACCAGGTCTTTAATGTTCACGTGGTGAAGAAGTGATTTTGTCCCCTTCTAACACAGGTGATCAATATGAATGTTGCTGTTAATAATCACCACGCTCAAGGGTGTCAGAGACTGCTACATGTCGTATTTGATGTACACAAAATGAGATAATTGGAGAAAAGGCTGTCTGATGAGGTCTTTTGTTATTCCTTTTAGTCCAGTTAGATCCTTACTTAGGTCCCTTCAGAAGAGAGCATGGCCGTGATGATTTGTGTCCATTCCCCGCTTTCCTCTTTCTCCGAGGTCTCTCCAGGCCATATGCCTGAACACCAGGTGGCGGCATTTGTTTGGGAAACACCAGAATGTCCCCATCTCTAGAATGGGTCCGATATATCTTACAGAAAATGTGCTTTCCAGCTCTTCAGCTTCCCAGGAGCACACTGACTGCAAGTGTAGAATCCAGTTAGGCCTTGAGAATGGCTCTGTGGCAGACTGCGAAACAGACAGCAAAGTGTGAGAAGGCTTAAAGTCTCAATTCTGCACAGCTGATCAGGAAAACATCTGCTGAGCTGAGGAATGGGACATCGCTGTCTCCAGGCTCATGGCTTCTCACATAGTCCATCCTGTTGTGTAGATGAGACTGCAGAGGAAAAATGTGTATGTATTAGCACAGACAGTCCATCTGCAAGAAGTTGTACTTACGGAAGATAACCTTTAGTGCCATACACAGATCTTCAGTAAACTATTTTCAATATTATTCAGCATTAATGCAGTTACTACAATCCAGCCTTTCTTAAATGTATCCCCATCCATTGAACTAATTACTCAGCTGACTTAATTTCTCACTGTCAAGCTTTTGACTAAGTACCATATAATACATCTTGAATAACAGTAGCCTTCCCTCTACTTCAGTAAAATACCCCTACTCATGGTTATTTATTTGGTTAGGGATTTTGTTTATCTTTTAAGCTGCTGCAACAATTAAAAATAATGCAAAGCACTGTATGTACTTTGGCTTAGATGCTTTGTTTAGGTTTATTGTTAGCATGGTATTTTCATGCATTTGTGAACTCTCGTAGAAATAGTGAGAGGCTCTTCACAAAGCCTGAAAATGTTAATTCTGTGAAATCTTGCCATTCTCTGTGCTGCTTTGTAATTCTAAATATTTAAGAGCCAAATATGCACATCAATACGCCTTCATTAAATTCTGTTCCTGCTAAACTAGTAACAAAATCTTTCTCTTATTCAAGTTGTTTATTGGTATGTTGTAGTGTGTAGTAGGTAGCAGTCCAGTTCACAGACTACAAGTGTTTTCCTGGATATTGTCGTCACTAACTTCCTTTGCTTGTAGAACTTTTCATGCTTCTCTGAGACCTTTCGATACTAATTTGGATGTTTTTCTCTTGAATAGTTTTGGCATCATCTTTTGAAGTATTTTCACAGATTAATTTTCAAATGGAAAAGTCTGTGTCAATATAGGCAATGTTCAAAGAGATTTGATGACACTGTGTTTTCAGAGCTTCAAAGTTCACTTCAGGGGCTCTTTTCCTGAGTAACACTAAGTCTAAGATGGCATCTGTAAGCTACCTAATTTTAATGCTTTAAGTTGCAAAAGGCTTGAAACAATACTTAGCTTCTTGCTGGCTTTCATGAATAAAAATGTTTCTACTTAACCTTAAAAAACAGCAGTAGGGATTTGCTTGGAAGACATTTTGGATTCATCATCCAAAGGCATCACTTACACTCACTCTGTCAGTTTCTCTTGCTTCATTCATTTCAAAATACAGTATTTGAGTGTGATTAATTAAAAAATAAAATAACTTCTAAACTCCAGAAGTCTACCTGTAGAGACTTGACTTTTCAACGCAGTGGTTAGTGTTTAAGGTTTCAGTTTGCATGCTGAGGCGCATTCTCTTTGGGGACACAAAACTTCAGTAGGTAATAAACGAAAATCAAATCAGTCTTATGTATATGCATATTGATATGCATGATTTAAGATTTTAACTAGTTATACATATTTCCGTCACATGCACATGCTTTACTGATAATTCCTTTAATTCAGTCTTCCACATGTGTTTCCTCCTTGTAAATAAAAAAAAAATATTATAGGAAGCATTCTGAAATAAAAATGTAAAAGGGAAGAAAAATAGCTAGTCTGTTATTTTTAAGATTTTCCTTTATGGGAGGCAGCCATGCTCTCTGCCTTTTGTTCAGAATTACCTACTGTGGTGCAAGTATCTTATTTTTCATTTTTCGTCATGGAGCACTCCAGAGTAAAGGGCAATAGGAAGGTTAAAGTCTTGTTTTCTCCTGTAAGGGTTCAACAGCTTTGAATCATCCAGAAAAAAAAGAGTTCTGATAATGAAAATTTTTGTGCATGAGGGAAAAAAACCCCACTCCACGGAATTTTTTGTTCTGAATTTTGTCTTTTTTCATTTATTTTTATAAATTATGTACTGATAAAAGCCTGCTACAGTGGAGAAATAAAACATTTTGTGTTGGAAATTATTATCTTGAGGCAATACATTCTCAGATTTGATTTCTCTTTCTTTCAAAAAGGGAAAAGAAAGAAAACTAGTCATTTCGTCAAATACTTCAGGTTAAATTGTTCAGTAGTCTGAAGGTGGAAGGTTGCCTACAGTTTCTTTACCAGCCTTGCTTTATGGGATGGAGTATGGCTGGGAGACCAGGTGAAGGACATAGAAAGGGCTATCGTTATGCCATTTGCCACAGTTCATTTCTCTGCTGGAGAGAAGGAATAGAAGCTGAGGGAACAAGTGAGAGGGGTTCTAAGTCTTGGTTCACCTAAGCTTGCCTGCTTGGTTCCTGAAGCCCAGAAAATCAAGAGTACAACCAGTTTCTATTTTCTTCTGGCTGTGATAGAAAAATCTGTAGTGAGCACGATTGCAGCTGGAGGACTGAGAGCAGGTCTTTACAGATAAAAACTTCAGAGCCAACCTGCAGCAGGATAAAAGGGTGAGGATATGGGAAATGGATGTGTAACAGACAAGTTTTTTTGCTGAGAAAGGAAGAAGATTTTGGTGGCCAGTGACCATGGAACTGCGAAGTTGTCTTCTGCTTACAAGTTGAACACAGCTTGTTCATGCAAATGATTGCCTTGTACATATTAAGGAAAGCCAGAAAGTGCTGTTTAAATTTGTGTCGTTCTGTAGAAAGCATTGAGCTGTGACAAGAGGAACTGCTATATGCTCTGTGGCCTCTTGAACTGGAAGCAGCTCTGAAGTCAGAGATCCTGGCCCTGGACCAAGAGGGAACTCTTCAGGCTCAGCTGAAGTAGGAACAGCACATGCGCCCGTGTGGTTTCACCCACCTGACTGACTGGCTTCCTTCTTCTCCAACCCATTTAGCTGAGATGTATTTTCGTTAATGTATCAGTCTGCATCATGGTTTGACAGGATACACAGCTTCTTATTCTTCTGCCCTGTGTGATCTAAGCCTGCTCAATTTTTAACAAGTTTTCAATTTTAGTTCTTTAAGGGGGTCCTGGGAAGATTATTTTATCCTTACAATGGCCTTTTTGATGGTTGCCTGCTGAGCTGTTTCATTCTATAAATTCCTGTCTTGGTTTTATGAGAAAAACCTGTCATTATCTGTGTAAATCTTGAGTAATTTTTCATATCATTTTCTTTGAAAGATGTGTGCGTGCACTGCAACAAACAGGCTGCCAAAGCTTAGCAAATGAGCTTTCTAAAGATTTCCCTTAAATTGTGCGTTAGAATTGATTGAGAAAAGAGGTTGAGAATGTAATAAAAGATGAGAAGTGAGTTATTTGGGCAGGTAGACAAGATGGATTAGCATGTAATTCCATGGGAAAACAGGCTTTGTTATTTCTTTTCTTTATATAGCAATTTGTTGGAGTTTCTTATTTGCTGTTAAGATAATTAACATTGGAAACAATTGGTACTCTAGCATGAAGCTGTTCGTTTTATGAGCCAGAACTAACAAAACATTTCTAAAATACTGTCTGATTTGCTTTTGTTAGCAAAGCTTGCTGAAGAACGAGCAAAATCAAGAAGAAATGATACTTCACTTCCTTTTGGATCTCTCTAGTCAGTGTGGTGTCTCATTTCCCTGTACTCCAAGTGGGACGTCTTTTGAATTAACATCCTCCCTTCATGCCATTGAGGATGATTCATCTATGGATGTGAAATCTCTCTGGGATGATGTGAGATTGCATCTTCGTCGATTCTTAGTGAATAGACTGCAAAGTCAAGAAGAAACAAATACTAATGCTTTACAACAGCAAATGGAGTTCAAAACGCAGTGCATACAGCAACTTTTATTCCTTTATCCTGAATCAGATGTTTTAACAAAGTATCAAAATATGCAGAATAAACTGGTCAGTGACCTTCTACAGAACTGTGTTTTGTCTAGTAGTGGTGAAACGAGTTTTGATAAGGTAGTTCATGGTTACCAAAGTTCTGTACCCACATTGTCCACAATGATAAAAGAGGATTTGTATATACTAACTGGAACTATTGATCTTTCATCATCATTGAAGTTTATTAATGAAACTTATCTGGATACCATCACTGAAGAAATGACAGTTCTTCTTGAAAGACTTTGTGAGCTGCAATTCAAAGAAAATGCTCTACATATAGTTAAGGCAAACAAGATTTCAAAGAAGCATAGAGGAACAGTTCATGCTGCGGGTTAGTAGCCTTATTTTATGTTCATTGTAGTTAGATATTATTTTAATTCTTTTTTTTTTCCAGTATATTTGATTATTTCCTATGAAGAGGGAGGCCTGAGATTATGAATTATAGCTTTATTTTTTAACTATATTACTGCAGTAGACTTAGAATCTGTGGTGTAGCTGTGATGAAAAAGGTTCTAAAGGATGTAACTTATGTTTATATATATAGAAACCCCTTTAGGATTCACTGGGTAACGTTGTTATGTCATAGTCATTTTTTTTCAGTCTAACATTCCAACTGCCAAAATATACTGTAGAATAAGAACTATCCAATCCAGATTTAAAAACATGCAAGCTCTTCAGTCTTCTACCCGCACTATTTTCTAATAGTCAGAAGTTTAAAGGATGTTATAGGACAGTCTGTACAGTAATGTGAACATGAAATAGACACAGATTCATACATCAGAGCTGAATCAAAATTTTACTAGGCAGATTGTAATTCTTAAAAAGGTACATAAAAAGTCATTTAAGTTTTACATTTTCTAGTCTTGTGAAAATATGGTAAGTGAAAATATGGTAAGCGCGAGTTGATGCTACCTGGGCATTTGGTGTAAGGAACTTACGTTGTAAGGTGTATGTGGTATTTCTGTATTTTCTTTTTACAGTTGGTGACTCTGACATTCTAATTTCCAAACGGAGGAATCAGAGCTTTAGAAAAAAGATCATGCAGAGTGGAAACTTTTGTATCATAATTGCATGATTGCATGTAATTGCCTTTTCAGTGCAGAATTTTGAGCACTCCTTTGTGCAAGAGCTGTTTGTTTAAAACATAGCTTTCCATAAAGGTGAAGTAGTTTGCAGACAGAAAATATTAAAAGTTTAGAATAATGGAGAGTACAGAAACAGAACATAGATCTCTGAGTTGTGCAACATGCACAAAAGATGAGGTTATGATTTGCCAGACCTATGCAAATGAAAATTATACTCTTGTGAGTTTTAAATTCAATATACATGTTAATGTAAGTCAACTGGAAATTCCACTGGAATACATGCTGGAATAATTTTTCAACAGAAGCTGAAATACAGAGGAATATGTGGAACATAGGAAAGATGAAGTAAGGGAAAAGGTGTGCAGAGAAATAATGTGAAAGGATGAGAAGTTCAATTTAAAGTTGATATATTAGTGGAATGGAATGTTGGTGGGAAACTAGGAGAAATAATGTCAAGAGTATGCTGAATTATGAAATAAATGACAGAAATGTATCTCTGAGTTACGTAAGGAGATGGGTGTCAGTGAAAGGATTCACTGACAGAAAATGACTGGTACAGAACTGGAAGTTTGTAACTTAATCTTTTTTTCAATCTCAAAACATTTGACAAAGATGGGGAGGTTCAGTTATCTCCATTTTATATCTAACACATGGAGATTAAAATGACCATAAGGGTGGCTCTTTAAAAACCCCACACATTAACTGCTTCTATACCACAAGAAGGAACAGAACAATCCTTCAGACTATGAAGATAGTAATTCCTTTGCTTAAATTTTGTTTGCCAGTATATGTAGCTTTCTGTGATTTTGGGCCAGTACATCTATCAGGACAGATTTCCAGTGCACAGTTCTATTGTATATTCAAAAGAAACAGGAATATAGAAATATGCAAATTAAATATTGAGACCTGATTGCAACTTTTAAAATGTTTGCTGCAATTAATTAAAAAAAAAGTAGAAATTTCTGTATATTATAAATCCCACAGAACTTTTTATTTTGATTCAAAATGTTTCAAAGGTCAGATTTGCAGGCTGAGTAACTGTCCCTTTAGCACCCACAAAATGTGTTTGGGAGTGGTGTTTGTTAATATCACTTAATCCTCAAAATTAGTTTCTTCACACTAGCTGTGATACTCATGTCTTCATCTTATTTTACTTCAAGAAGCTGCTGTGAGAAGCAAACATTGATGCATCTGCACTCTCTCTTACTAGTTTTCTGCAGAATCAGACAGTTCCAGATGATCTGTGGTTATAGACTGCAGGCAGCCAAACAATAAAGGGACAATAGTGAAGTCAGCAGGCAAGAGCAAAATTGGGAGTCAGAGTTGGGAAGTCACATGGGAGGTCTTTATTAATTTTGTGGACATGTCATAACCTATTATTTGGGATTATTAACCAAGTCAAGCAAAATTTATACATATGTTATTGCCAAAACCAATTATTATTGAATAGTTTATTGCATACGAGCTTATATGTGAAGTGTTTTCTAGAAAGAGAATTCTCTTTTCTAAATGTTTGAATATACTATTTATACCATTAAGTCACAAAAAGGCACTTTTCCTTCGGAATTAGGGTGTTCACAAGGCAGTTTGTGCTGAAATGGCTATTCAGGAAAAAATTCTTCAGAATAACTATTTTGGGAGGTTTATAATGGTAGACAAGTTTTTAATGTCAAATGGCTTTTTGTGCTTGAAACTCTTATTAAATTCTGATACCTTTGGTGCCCTGCCACAACTGAGAGTGGAAGCTTGTATTTAAACACAGGTTAAATAAAAGACAGCTTTAATAGCTTGCCTTAACAGTGATACCCAGTTTGCTGACTGTTAAAAAAAATATAAAGCATGCTGCAGTGTGGAGGGAAGGGGAGAATGGAAGGAGATATTTTTTCTTAGTTTACTTAGTACGCCTTCAGGGAAATGGGGTTGTCAGTTTGCTGTTGGGTTGGGTTTTTTCATAACAACTGCTGTAGTCCGTCCTACTATATAGGAGAAGAAAATAACGGAAAATAGTGAAACAATGCTAGAACTTCAGAAAACTTTATATAGATGGCCTACTTCTGTCCAGAAAATAAAAGCGGTCTATAACAAGCTTTAAGAGAGTTATAAATCTTTAAAATATTTCATATATCTATTTGTGAAGTAAATAATTAACATTTTTGTTTTCATGCTGTATTGGAACAGTTGTTTGTCAAATAGTGTAATGGGATTGTATCCATTTATCAGGATTGAAAATGAGCATGGTTTTAGAGAGAAGCTGGCAAAATAGTATGTGAAGAGACAAATTCTCTGGAACTTGGCATCTTTGATTGCCAGCTCTAGTGGAGGCAGGTGGTTTTATGTTATAACTTGATCCAGGCAGCTGCTTTTCAGCTTCTCTCTTGAGATTTTTTGCTTCAATTTCCAATGTGATATTTCTCAGAAATTATTTGCAATACGTCTATTAAATGTGGATTGTACTTTTACCTTTGGAGCCTTTTTCGTTTTAATTTACAAAAACAGTTAAGCTAGTTTAATCAGGCATTACTAACCTATCTTAATCCCTGATCTCTCTTAGATGAAGAAACAGCTACTCTTGTAATAGATAAGACATGAGCCAAAGAAACTTAAACCCCATGAAATTATACATATTTTATGTATTAGTGGAAAGCTTTCTTTGGTTTTATTTATATACATATACACAGATATATAAATGCCTATATATATACAGACTGTGTATATGTCTGTATATATATATATATACAGAGAGAATGTAAATACACCTGTAGACTAATTAGTCAATTTTTAAATTTCCCATAGTTAAGACCAACCAGAGGTTAGAGCTTTGAAGGGTGGGTTTTTTGTGACATATTCAAATTCATTGGCTTAATATTTTAATTTAGACACATACTTGCTAGTGACCCTAGGCTTTCAAACCTAATGACATTTGTGAATAAAAAATATTTTTAGTATATTTATATAATTAATAATTTTTTTAAAATCTTAGATTAAATTTGTTTTTTTAAATATGAGGCAGTGCGTAGTGCATGAAGATCAGAAGTTCCAGCCCAACACATTCTATGATTCTATGATTTTATGATTCTATGATTTTGTGATTCTAAGATTATCCTAAAGAAAACATTTCTGCAAAGTGAAGGTAAACTGAAGTGATGCAGGTTTGACTAAGTGCCTTTTCAGCTAAAAAGTAATTAAATAACCTTCACTGATATATTTTAATATTCATCTTTTCCACTTTTTTCCCCAGTGTACCATCCTCTTACTTATGTGTCCAGCAAGCTTCTATTCTGTTTTCTTTCTCCAGAATATGACCAACTTCCATTCTGTTCTAAAGATATATTCAAATGCAAAGTGTGATTTAAGTTATATTTTTAATTTATTATCTTTAAACATTTCTGAGTTCCTACAGAATATATAGTGTTTCTATAGTGTTCATGGAACACCTAATGTGAATATGGCATGTATCTAAACTTGAATAGAAGGGCTAAATATTGTTTAAAGGAGCTGAATTTGTGCAGTGCAGTTGAGAGCAGGAAGAGAAACAGGCTTTGGAGTAGCTTGTTGAAATGAAGGTGACTTTCAGACGTTAAATAAAAGTACTTGATAAGGCAAAAGTATTTTGAGGTCACGTGTACTTACCTATTCCCAGCAATTTTCTGTCCACCTAAGTTGAAATACAAGTTTTGAGTTTTGGACGTTTGACTTAAATTTGATTTCTCTTCTGCATTCATGTGCACATGGCTTTATTGCCCCTAGTTTATCATTTCCTCCCTTTGAAATAAAGAACCTTAGTTTCAGACTTGCTTTTATCCTTCCATTTAATTTAAATTCATTCAGTTTTGTGATCTCTTGAGCCACGATTATTGCCTACAACCAATCTTCTATGATCTTCGTTTTATCTATCAAAAATATGCCTAAAATAGCATTGATACCTGCTGGTTTAGTGACTGCATTTAGTTATTCATGTCTGGGAATAATTAGGACTCAATAACTTTAGTGTAATTTATTCTCCCATTTCTATGTGGAAATTAAAGAATTCCAGACTTGGTTTCATGTAATTAATATTTATATTTTTGCACCTTTTTTGAGATTTATGTCCAGATTACAGTCTGTAGCAGGTAATTTACAATATTTATGTTGTTGTGATGATTTTTTTTCCTTCGGGTTTTCTTATCTGTAATCCATTGTTAGATCTCTCTTTTTAGAAGTATTAGGAAGAATGGGGAAGGTATCTCAGTCACTTGGCTTACTGCTG